CTCAGCCTCCCAGAGGGCTTAGGGTGACAGGTGTGTGCTCCACCACACCTGGCTAAGCATTTACAGTTTTTCACAGGGCTTCACTGGGAGGTGGTAGAGCAGCTTCCTTTACACAGGAGGCATAGGAGGTGTAGGTCATCTGGGCTGGAGATGTCCGGGGTCAGCAACTTGGAAAACTGAGGTCAGGCACTGAAGTGGTCTCCTAGTAGAAAGTTCGGTGCTAAGGTCCTAAGAGGAGAGGTTCCTGAGAAAGGCTTTGGGTGACATCCAGATGAAGAAAGGGTGGTGGGTCTCATAATGTTGAAGTCGGGGAACATGTGTGGCTCTCTAGCTTTTCCTCCATCCCAGTGCCCTCCAGCACACTCCTACAGACACAGTGCCCTGTACCCAGCAGGCACACGCCACCCTGTGTCCTTTGCTACACTTCTTTTATGGGAAGACCATCGTATTTGGCTAGTATAAGCCCTACAAAGAGTCAGGGTCTTGAGTGTTTTTGTTCATCACTGTATTTCTAGTATCTAGAAGAGGGTTTGGCATAGTGTAGATCAAGATACATTTGTGGGAGCTGGATGTGCAGGCATATACCTGTAACTTCAGCAGGGAGGCTGAGGCAGGAGGATCACAGGTTTGAGTCCTGCATGGACAACTTAATGAGATCCTATCTGGAAATAAAAATGAAAAGACGAGGGCATTGTGGCTGGCGGCGGCGGCGGCGGCGGCGGCGGCGGCGGCCGGTAAGGGCGCCGTAGCCGCAGGGAGCGGCTGGGCGCGGAGAGGCGCGCACCCGAACTCGGACAGCGCGGCGCCGCTGTGAGCGCCACTGAGCGCACTCACCTCCGGTCGCGCAACTTCAGAGGCGGGGCGCAGGAGCACGGGGAGCGCTCGGAGTCCTGCAGCCCCCGGAGCGCAGAGTCCTGCAGCGCCGGAACCGAGCTCCAGAGAGGGCACCAGGCATCCACTGCGTTCCGAGCGCCGCGCGGCTCTCCGCGCAGCCTGGCTGTCGCCGCCCCCACGGAGGGCACGGGCTGGCGCGGCCGGGCGCCGGGGAGGACGGCGAGAAGGAGGCGGCGGCGGCGGAGACGGCGGCGGCGAGGCTGGGGCCAGGGAGAGAGCCCCGGGGGAGAGGCGCCCGAGCCCGGCCGCGGGAGCATGTGGGCCCCGAGCGGGGCGCGCGGCGCGCTGCTGCTGGCGTTGCTACTCTGCTGGGACCCGAGACTGAGCCAAGCAGGTAGGAAGCGCCCGGCCTGCGGGCAGGGGATGCGCGGACCCTGCGCCTCGCTGCTGCGCTCAACCCCGAAGTTGAGGTGGAGTCGTTGCGCGCCGGGAAAGCGGCAGGACGCCCAAGTTAGAAGGCAGATTTCTGCCCCACCAAAGTAGGTGATGGCGCCGCCGACTCGCTGGGGGCCCTGGCGGGGCGGGGTGAAGTAAGCCGGAAGCTTCTCCTCTGCGGGTGTCTTGAGTCGGGGTCTGAGCCTCTGCAAGGAGCCACCTCCAGCCGCCCCTTTGCTCCCGGCCTGCCCGGCGACAACAGCGCCAAGAACTGTCGCTCTCTGAGCCAGGTTTGCGCTCGTTCCTGTTCCCTCCAACTTCCTAGTTCGGTCCTGGCCAGCCCAGACTCCTGCGCGCCGCCCCAACCGCACTCTGCAGATGGGAGGAAGGGAGGGAGCGAGGGACCTGCGGAGCCCGCGAGGCGCCGGTCCTGCGCCGGCAGCTAGAGGCCGGGTTGCCCGGCTTCGGCTACCGATGGGGGAGGGGCTGGATCTCGCGCCCGCAGCTTTTCTGAGATCTTGATGCCCGAGGGTTGCAAGGTGTCTTGTTTTGTTTTTTAATTTCTAGGTGGTGTGTCTGTTGAAAGAAGGCGGGGTTATGTACTGCTCCAGCCTATTCCCTTTTAAATGGGTCACTGACATTCTCTGTCCGGGGATTGACCAGGTGCGCTGGCTTCTGTACATCTTTTGTGGGCCCAGGAAGGCCTTGAGGGGCTTGGTGGGCCCTTAATATATTAAGTGCCTAACCCGTCTCTTGCACCCTGGTTGTGTATGTCTCACTCGCTCTGTAGCTGGACCACACGTCTCTAAGTGAGCTATCTCCCTGCCCGAACCTAAGCAGACGAGCTAGCTGCTGCTGCGAGGCCACCCTGTGGGATGGGGGCAAAACGGGACATCCTGCGCGAATACCTCTCTCAGAATCCGGTAGGAAAACTGGTACAGAAAGTGAGCTGAAGACGACATAGCCGCCCCCTCCCGTCTTCCACAGCGATGTTGACATCCGCTCCCCCCCCCCCATAACCAAAGATCCTTCGCTCTGAAATTAATGATTCCCACGGCCAGGAGCAAGGGCTTGGCTTTAGCACATCCCCCACTTTTTATTTTTCCAAGTCCTGTGCTGTAAAGTTACAACACTCAATCATTTGATCCAAGTTAATTATGATTTGGGCAGACTCTGGTATTTAAAGCAGTGTTTTGAAGTTGGAAGGTAATGAGGGGAAAGAGGGGAGGTAAGCTGCTGAATGACCAGCCTTGTTTTAAAGGGTGCAGTTAGATGTGGGAAGTGCTGGGTTGGGGTGTTGGTTTCTGCTTTGAGGGTTTTTGAGGAGGTGATTGAAGGGTATGGTGAAGTCTCTGTAAATGCCACATGGGCAGGCTTGTGTCTCGCGATTTTGTACCAGTGGGGGCAGTGGAATCAGGAATAAATTCCAAGGTTAGTGAGGGTGGGGGACTCAGCTAGGAGAAAGACCCAACCGGTGGCCCTGGAGTTCTCTGGCTGGGTGGGCTGGGCCAGGAAGCCTGGAGGTGGCCTGCTTTTGCAATTTAACAAAGCATCCAACCCCCACATTCCCCAGAAGAAACCCCAGGCCCAGGACTTTGATGGATTTGGGCATGAACCAGTGCCCAGCCAGAAATGGCCTCTAATATCGGGCTTTGATTTCTCACTACCGAGCAGAAGCAGTGTTGGAATTGTGCTCATTACTTAGCACGGCAGGGGCTCCCTGCCCACCAGCCTGGAGATGGGCCCACTGGTGGGCTTGGCCCGAGCCTTCTCTTTGCCCAAATGTGCCGCCCTTAGAAATATGCCTTGGGGAAGAGAACGTGCCCCTTCCTCCCACACAGCCTTTCTTCTCCAGTGCCTGGGCACAGAGCAACTTTCTTTCAGAATTTTTGGATTTTTCCAATGGATCCAGTATGAGTCCCATTTCACCAGTGAGGAAAACCAAGGCCCAAGTACTGGCTTTGCTCAAATCTTGCTTTCACTTGACACCAAGCCAGACCTAATATGCTGGGCTCCTGTCCAGTAGCCGGGTGTTTCAGGCCACCCTGGACCCTTCAGTTGCTGCCCATCCTCTGCTCCAAGTCCTCTGTCAAGCTGAGGCAGGAGAGGGTCCCCTACCTGGAGCCTTCCTGGGGTGTTCAGACTCCTGTGGAGTGGGGGAGCACCTCTTTCCTCTTCTCCCCACCCCATCCCCAGAAAATGACAATGAGCTTCCTTTATAGCCCTGGGAATTTTTTTTAAGCCACAAAGTTTGATGATGGAGAAATCAAAACTAGTACCATAAAACCCCAGGCCCTTAAAAAGATGTCAGCAAGGGATTGGCAAAGGAGGCCCCTTCAAAAGCTCTGGCTGGCCCTGGGGATCCCTCCGCTTCCCCGCTCAGCCCTTCCTGGAGCTTTTAATGAGCCCTTCCTTGGTCTCTGACTGGGATGGTGGAGAAGGAACGGAGGTGTCGTGATAAGACTTCTTTTTCATTTTAAGGCGCAATTAAAATTGGTGTTTTCCTAGGATCTCTGCTTGGTGTTTGTGTGTGTGCCTGTGTGGTGTAGTGCCTTGTCCTCTTCTCCCTCCGCATGATAGCAAACACCCATCTCACTTAAATGGAAAATCAAGTATCTTAATGGGCTTTCTCATTAACATGAAAGTACCACTGCAGGGGAGGAATTTCTCTGTAATCTCTCTCTTCCAGATCTGTCCCCTCCCTGCTGCCCAGCAGAGAATTCTGTGGGACCAAACAATTCTGTTTCCAGTCCACTTATCTGACTACTGAAACTTTGAGACAGGTTTTTTCCACTTTCCCAAGGTCACTGGGACTTTGGTAAGAGTCTGGACATGGGCTCTGTCCTCATAAACTCCAAAAAGTCTGGTGCTGGGATGGAGGGGGAGATTTCAAGCTGAGATGCACGGCTGAAGATACGGTTGATGGTTGCTTTGATAGCCGGGCTAGATGGATTTGTAGCAGGGTGGGGAAAGTGGGTCAGTTTGCAAACCAGGAGAGAGCCAGGGAGGACAGAGGTCTGGAGTGACATCCTGAAACCTGGCTAGTGGCCAAAGGTGGTTCCACACCCCCAGCCCCACCTGGATCTCTTAGCAACTTCCCTGACCTGGAGAAGGGAAGATAGGTTGCAAGCTAAGCTCCCTTGGGCCGCAAGGGTGTTGTAGGGCTCTGTGCCCATTTGTGCATCTGGGGACAGAATGTTGTTACTTCTTGGCATCCCAAGCCTTTGGAAGCCCATGCAGCTGTGGCATTTGTCCTGGACTAAAGGTGTTGGGACCTTCTTCCTGGCTGGTGCCTGAGATAAACTTGGCCTCCCAGGCCCCCTTCACTGAGCTAGAGACTGCTTCTGAGGATTGTAGGCTGCCCAGGCCTTTGGAGATGGGCATGAGACAGACTGGATCCCTTCCATCCCAAGTCCTTGGAGAACCAAGTTAGTGATTCTGGAAGGAAGTACTGGAGGCTCTCTGGGCCTGCGGGCTACAGTATGGTCTTTTGAGCCTCAGAGCTGGATCAAGCTGGTGGCAGCTAGGCCCAGAGAAACTGCTGCCCTGTTCTTGCCCCCCTCTGGGGGTGGAGATGTTGCCGCCCAAGCCTGAGCTGGCGCTTTTGCTGGCCTTCTCCTTCTCACCAGTTTCCTTAACAGCTTCCACAAATGGAGTCATTAAAGCTGTGAAGGCAGGATGAAACCAAACAAGTGTGTTTTGTGCTTTTCTTTCTTTTTTTTAAGAAATAAATTAAAAATACAATAATTAGAATTATACAAGTAGGGGGCAGGGAGATGGCTCAGTGGAATAAGCGCTTCCCTGGCAAGTGCAAGGGCCTGAGTTCAACCCTGATTCTGAAAATTAAAAAAAAAAAAAATGTTTTTTTGGGCCGGGGAGATGGCTCAATAAAATAAGCACTTCCCTGGCAAGTGCAAAAAGGCCTGAGTTCAATCCCTGGTTCCACCAAAAAAAAAAAAAAAAAAAGATATATATAGAATTATACAAGTAGAGTGCCCTCTCTAGTGGGCCAGAAAGGAATGGTGCTTCCCACCCTGCTTGGCTTCTAGAGTTGAGGCTGGGGCACCACTTCCTGACCTCTTTGGGCCTGCCCAAAGAGCTGGGAATCTGGGAAACTCACCTATCTTCTCCCCCATACCCAAGGCGTGTTGGTGAACCCACCCACCCTGGGGTTTTGGGGCAAGGACTGGCATCCTGAACTAACTGTGGCCCTTCGCTGAGTTGGTGACCGGAGAGATCAGAACTCTAGCCCAGAGCAACCCCAGCCACCTCTCCTCCCCCTTGGCAGACAAGCCCAGGCAGCTCGCTAAGCCACAGGTCCCCCTGGCACTCCTTCCTCTGGACTCTTGGTCTTTGGTGATGCTAAGGGCTGTAGAGTACAGACAAGCGTAAATCAGTGCCCCCACCCTCTTTCCCCCTCTTTCTCCTCTCTAAAAGCACTGGGTTGCTAGAAGCACCCTTTTGGACAAAGCCTCCTGATTAGCATCTCTGTGGCTTGGGGGCAGGATTTAGCACTGCCTCCCTCACCTAGAGTCAGCCTGGGAGGTGGACCTGCTCCCCGCCCTCCCTTCTGTCCCCCTTTGTCCCCCTTTTCCCTCTCTTTCTTGCCACCTCCCTCCCCAGCCGAGCTAAATCAGTCTGCAGGAGCCCCAGGAGCTCCAACGCTACCCACCTCCCGCCTCATCTGTGAGTGCACAGCTCAGCGCAGCTCGCAGCTCGCAGCTCGCGAGCCCCTGCTTCTCACCTCCCAGAACAGGCTGCCCCCGGCGGGCACCTCACAACTTCCCTGGTGCCCCACGCTCACTTCGGGGAAAAGCAGTCTTGTGGTGTGAGCACACGTACCAAGGAGTGTTTGTGTAGGGGGATGTGTATTAGGAGGTGGGAGAGAAGGGTGGGTATTGCAACTCATGGGGATATTTTAAGTGTGCAGAAGCATGGGTTGTGTTGAGGTTTGTGGCT